GCTGGTGAGATAGCTCAGTGGTCTAAAGCACCTACTTGGAACAAGCTTGGCAAAGCAGAGGGACCACAGTTCGATCCCCCAGCACCACATACCAGCCAGCCCCGCCCCCTGGTGGGCTGAGCTGGTCACACACACACACACACACACACACACACAAATAAATAAATGTTAAAAAAAATTTTAAAAAAATAAATAAAAATCAACTTGAGGACCGGGGAGATGGCTCAGTGGAATAAGCACTTCCCTGGCAAGCGCAAGGGCCTGAGTTCAATCCCTGGTTCCACACACACACACACACACACACACACACACAAACTTAAATACTGATATCAGTAAGATTAGATTCTTAACTATAATAATGAACAAGCTAATGGCATCAAGCCTCGATATATATTCAGTTTGTTGATCTGGATGAGCATCCAGTTCAAAATATGCATGGGAAGACCCTAATGAACAGATACCTGACTCCTGCCACATACGATCCCATCCTCAATGCTCACACCTATCCTTGATTACATTCAAGTATAAAAGAGCCCAAACAGAAACAAGAGTGTCCTACTGCTGCTATACGAAATTCTAGCTTGCATTTATTTGAACTGAACAAAGCTGGAAATTATTGCATTAAATTAGGCAAAGAACAAATCAAAGTGAATTCATGGTTTCATTTTTCTAGAATGAAAATAATGAAATTAAAAGCATCTATGTTCAATCACCTCAGTTAGCATTGCTTTAATATTAATCAGCTAAAAAGGAGTCCAAACTAAATTAATAGAAAAAAATGAGAAAAGAGCCATGCATGATGATGCACATCTGTAATCTGAGCACTTGGGAGGCGGAGGCAGGAAGGTTCACTGTGAGTTCAAGGCCAGCCTGAGCTACATAGTGAGGCCTTGTATCAAAACAAAAAAGTAGCACTTGGGAGGCTGAGGCAGGATTGTTGTGAGTTTGAGATCAGCTTGCATCATAGTGAGCTCAATGCCAGCTTGAGCTGCATAGTGAGACCTTGTCTTAAAAAGACAAAAGACAGGTGGCTTGCGGGTTAGCTCAGTTGTTTAAGCCCCTGCTGGGGCAAACCCAGTTCAGGCCCAGGGGACCACAGTTTGATCCTCAGCTCCCCATGCCTTACCAGACATGCCTTACCCCATGCCTTAAGGCAGCCTGAGCCTGCCAGAAAACAAAAAAAAAAAAATCAAATGCAGTTTGCACTTGGGGTCATTAAAAGACATGTATAAAATACATTTCAAACAATTTTATTTATGGATTTATAGGCAGGGTCACAGCTGTCTATAAACAAACATATTTCAGGCTGGTCTTAAACTCACTATGTAGCCCAGGCTGAACTCTAATTTGCATCTATCCTCCTGTCTTAGCTGTTCAAGTGCTGGGATTTCAGATGTATACCACCACACCCTGCTAGCCGCTTTGGATTTTGAATATGCTTGTGTTCCTCTTATTTATTTCATGCAAGGCACTGAACTTGGGACTCCACATCTTCATCCTGAGCTATGTCTACAGCCCCCTTTAATTAATTAATTTATTTATTTGGTGGAACTGGGGATTGAACTCAGGCCCTTGTGCTTGCCAGGCAAGCGTTTATTCTACTGAGCTATCTCCCCAGCTCTACAGCCCTCTTTTAAATTTTGACACGAGGAAGGAAGGGAAAAGGGACAAGACAGGATTTAAAATATATTATGTGCATGTACCAATTCCCCACAAGAGATACAAATGTATGTACTACAAACACATTCTGAGACAAGGTCTCACTAAATTGCCCACTCGAGGCTCACTGAACTCTCCCTACCTCAGGCTCCAGAGTGCTAGGATTACAGGGGTGTCGTCTTCTCTACCTAACTTCTGAGCTCACAAATCTGCATCCATCTCTAGAGATTCCTCCAACCCTCACTGCAGGCACATCTCACAGTGAAGTAAGGTCACATGTTGCTTCATTTCTACTGCCCCAGTCCTTCTTTCCTACTGTTCCTCATCTCTCGCAGTTTTAATGTTTTATGGCATGTCTGTAAATAGCCTCACATTTTTGGGAAGACAGACTTTTATAAGTAATATATAACAGGACCGGCAAGATAACTGAGCAGACTAAATACCTACTTAGGCAAGCACAGGGACTGGGGTTCAATCCCTGTCACCACATACTGCCAGCCCCTCCCCCAGGCAAGCTCAGCAGGCCACGGAGACCCGGCATGGTGGTGCACGCCGGTGCAGCGCAGGGGCAGCTGAAAACAGGAGGATCACGAGTCCGAGCTGTAGGAGGCCAGGGAGATGGCTCAGTGGAAAAAGCACTTCCCTGGCAAGCGCTAGAGTCTGAGTTCAATCCCCGGTTCCACCACACACACACAAAAAAAAGTCTGAGCTGTGTAGTGAAACCCTGTATCAAATACATAATCAATCAATCATGGAAAAAAATCAACCTTAAATTCTGGGTGCAGGGCCGGGGAGATAGCTCAGTGGCTTAAACAGCCTGGCAAGCACAAGGTCCCTAGTTCAAGCCCCGGCAACAAACTAAAAAAAAAAAAAAAAAAAAATCTGGGTGTAGATCTGGTTTGGCATATTTATTAGTGTCTTTTAGGACAGGGTCTCACTATGCAATTCAAGCTAGCCTTGGGCTCACTATGTAGCACAGGATGGTCCAGAACTCTCCGTGATCCTCCTACCTCAGCCTCCTCAGAACTGGGATTACAAACCTGCACCACCACACCAGATTTACCCCTTGCTTTTTTTTGTTTTTGTATTTGTTTTTGGTCTCTTTCGGACAGCGTTTCCCTGTGTAGTTCAGTCCGTTCTCGAATTCGCAAAGATCCTCTTACTTTAGCCTCCCGAGTGCAGGTATTACAGGCGTGCGCCACCGCCCGGCCTCGCCCTGCCTTTTTAATTGAATCACGAGCGACTGTCGCTGGAGAAGCAACAACTCACCCTGGTTTCCGGAGCAACAGCCCCGCCCTTCCCCGTTAGTCCCGCCCCCGGATCCTGCCCCGCCTCTGAAGCTTTTCCCGCCAAAGGCCGTTATTGCCGCTGAGCATGGTGGGATAGGGTTCTGGGCTAGGTTTCACTAAATCCTTTCAAGACTCTAGGTTGCTTTCAAAAGGAGTCGTTCCTGGGGAAACTACCCCTAAATATCCCGTACGGATTGATAGCCCTTTTTACGAGGATTCTGTGTTTAATTTTTGCCAAATAGTTGACCACCACACTAAACAACTAACCCGCAATGCTTGGGATGCGAGGGACTTTTTTTTTCCTGCGTGCGGAGGGTGACGTCGCGCGTGCGTAAACATAGTTTCCTTACGCCCGTTACGCTCCCGCGCCTGCGCACTAACTTTGAACAGCGCTTCCTCTCATTTCTCTTCCTCCCCCCCATATCCGTGCGCCAAGCAGATAAAGGCGCCATTTTGGAGAGGCCACGGGAGACGTGGTGCCGCTGCGGGCTCGCTCTGCTGTGCGCTAGGCTTGGTGGGAAGGCCCGTTCTCGAGTCCGCGCTTTTTCGTCGCCGCCACGTCGGGAGGTGGTGTGATTCGTGGCCCGGCAGGGAACAACGACTGCCGCATCTACGTGGGAAACTTGCCTCCAGACATCCGAACCAAGGACATTGAGGACGTGTTTTATAAATACGGCGCTATTCGCGACATCGATCTGAAAAATCGCCGCGGGGGACCGCCCTTCGCCTTCGTAGAATTCGAGGACCCGCGGTGAGGCAGCATGGGACTTGCGGCCTTGGGGAAATAGGACAGTAGGAAAGGGTTCTGAGGCTTTAACATAATAGGGAGGGAGGAGTTCTTGGAGAGGCTGGGGCGAGTCCCTGTGCTGTCTCTGCTGACCGGGCGCCTTGGACGTCCCAGGAGCCCACGCGCCGGCCCGGAGCGGGAAACTGAGGCGCGGAGGCCCGGTGTAGTGGTCGGGAGCCGGCGCGTTCCTGGGTGGGGGAGGGGCGGCCCCTATTATGCGGCGCATGTGGGCTCCGCGCCGGGGTGCGCATGTGCGGAGTCAGTGCGTCGAGACCAAGTTAGCTTCTGCTGCGGGTCCTTTCTCATTCGTTTTGATTTTTGTGGTCACGCAGAGACGCGGAAGACGCGGTGTACGGTCGCGACGGCTACGATTACGATGGATATCGTCTGCGGGTGGAATTTCCTCGTAGCGGCCGTGGTACCGGCCGAGGTGGCGGCGGGGGTGGAGGTGGTGGAGCGCCCCGAGGCCGCTATGGCCCCCCATCCAGGCGATCTGAAAACAGAGTGGTTGTCTCTGGTGAGTTTATGCAACCCAAAAGAGAGGAGGAGGGGCAAAAACGACTTAAAATTTTTCCCTCCGTGACCAGTTTCATAGTTGCCATGCTAGGCCTTTAGTTTTCAGGTGGGTTTAGTAAGTAAATGTTACTGTGGTGGTGACTTACCCAAATTATGATGTGGCAGTAGAATATGGAGATCCTTTACACATAAATTTGGACTTCAGGTCTCAGACTCTTACCAGCTCATTACCCGGAATCACTTGTATATAGTCAAAGTTAATATTTTTAAAATTTTTGTGCTAGTGTATGAACGTGAAATTTACAATAGTTGGTTTTTTTTATTGTATAACTTCTATTACATGAAAAAACTTGTTTGTAGATAGGATATTATGTCTGCATCTTGTACAGCAATTAACCACTAGGAAGAATGTATGCAATGTGTTGATTATTGAAACTATCCTACCAATTTGGTTTGAAACTGTCTCATTGCTAATTGTTTTTCAATAAAATTATGAAAAAGAGAAAACTTAAAGTATAATTTATGGAGCAAAAGTATGTAATACGAAATAGATCATTTTTGTACATGGGCTGCAGAGATGGGGAAAAGATGGGACAAGGAATAAAATTCAGATGCAATAAATAGTTGGTATTAAGAGGGATAAAAATCATTTTTTCAGGACTTCCTCCAAGTGGAAGCTGGCAGGATTTAAAGGATCACATGCGTGAAGCAGGTGATGTATGTTATGCTGATGTTTACCGAGATGGCACTGGTGTCGTGGAATTTGTACGGAAAGAAGATATGACCTATGCGGTTCGAAAACTGGATAACACTAAGTTTAGATCTCATGAGGTAGGTTATACACTTATTCTTTCCTATGACCAGAATTGGATTCAGTGGTCTTAACAGTGGAATTTGAAGGTAAGGATTCAGAAAAGGGTGTCCAAAAGTAAATTGCCAGATACCCGATTTTGCTTTGTATTCATTCAGCATGACTAAAGATAGCTGAAAAGCTTAGATCTTTCAATGGAAAGTTCTGTCTATCCAATAGGGAGAAACTGCCTACATCCGGGTTAAAGTTGATGGGCCCAGAAGTCCAAGTTATGGAAGATCTCGCTCTCGAAGCCGTAGTCGTAGCAGAAGCCGTAGCAGAAGCAACAGCAGGAGTCGCAGTTACTCCCCAAGGAGAAGCAGAGGATCACCACGCTATTCTCCCCGTCATAGCAGATCTCGCTCTCGTACATAAGATGATTGGTGACACTTTTTGTAGAACCCATGTTGTATACAGTTTTCCTTTATTCAGTACAATCTTTTCATTTTTTAATTCAAACTGTTTTGTTCAGAATGGGCTAAAGTGTTGAATTGCATTCTTGTGTAATATCCCCTTGCTCCTAACATCTGCATTCCCCTCATGTCTTTGATATTTGGTATTTTGGTATTTTAAGTGATGTCATAGACAGGATTGTTTAAATTTAGTTAACTCTCCATGCTCTTCAGACTGTGATATTGTGTAAATGTCTATTCTGCTCTGGTTTGTGTGAACTGGGATGTTGGGGGTGTTTGTGGTTATCTTACCTGGGGAAGTTCTTATGTTTATCTTGCTTTTCATGTGTCTTTCTGTAGACATGTCTGAAGAGATGGATTAAGAATGCTTTGGATTAAGGATTGTGGAGCACATTTCAATCATTTTAGGATTGTCAAAAGGAGGATTGAGGAGGATCAGATCAATAATGGAGGCAATGGTATGACTCCAAGTGCTATTGTCACAGATGAAATTGGCAGTATTGACCTTATACTAAAAGGCAAGGGTTGAAAGTGAAAAATCTTAAAAACACTTGTAAACATCTTATGCAGTTAACATTAAGCTACAATTGCTTCATTCTTTAAACCTTTGCAATTGTGGCAAAATAACATTGCCCATTTTGTAGCTATTTTACTCCCCCTTTTTTGTTTTAATAGGGACTAATGTGGGAAGAACTGGCTAATTGTCAGTGCTTAGTTACAACTGTTAATGTGTGACCTGCTGTTGATGTACATGTGGGTACAGGGTGTCTTTAATTCCAACAAGATAGAGTATAATATCAATACTGCTAAATCTGCATGTCCTCTGTGTGATTGATAAGAGCGTTGCTATTTCATTTTTTTAAGACAAAATGAAAGCAAAATATAGAATTCCAATGTATTTGGTGTAGATAATCTAGTTGGGAGTAATTTCTTAAGTCTCACCTTCCCCTTTAATTCATAATTGACTCATGTTTAAGACACTTTAATTTACAAATTAAATTGCAGATGGGAACATTAGATTTACTTTAGACTTAGGTGGGTAACGATATCAGTAAACTTTTCAACTACATAACTGCAACCACAAAACCTGTAATATGCTGTACAGTAACAAGTGTTGGCATTATCAGTTGAACTGTAAATATAAAATGCTTCTTCCAGTTAGTCTCTATGATGATTAAGTTTCTAAAATTTATCTGAACACCATTCAGAAACTTGTTTTGGGGAATTTGATAGTTATTGATGTACATCTGTTAAACTGATGACAGACATAACTCATCATTCCCCAGAAACCTTTTTTGATTACAGTATCTAACATTTTGCCTCCTCTTTTTTGGTTTTGCTGGTTATAAAGGTTTGGATTGGAGAGGGCTCACTGGATCCCAATCCTTGGAGCTGGATCATTGGATTCAAATCATAATGTGGATAGGATAGGGAGGATCAATTACAAGGATTCATGGAGCGGGATCAGATTACCAGGAACATAGGAGTGGATTCCTGCCCCAACCAAACCGCACTCGTGTGGATTTTTTTTATTCAACTTAATTGGCTATTCCAAAGATTTTTTCCCTATTTTTGACAATTGGAGCCCTTAAGATGCACGATGGAATTGTGTTTTGCATTTTTTGGTAAAAGGAGCAAAGCGAGGACCTGGAGATAATACGCTGGAGCAATCTCCTTGGAAGGATTCAGCACGAGTAGATGGTAAACACTTAAAGGGGTAAGGGGGGGTTTGTTTAAAATAGTAATCAGTAAGTCACTTCTAAATTTAAAAAAATTGGTGTTGAAGAATGAGTAGGTTTCCAATTGGCTATTGCCGTTTTTCTTTGAAAAAATAAACATTTTTTAAAAAACTATGCATGGTTGTCCTTTTTCCTCTTCATGTAAGATTTTAACTTGTAACTATCAGTTTAAATAAGATAAAATTCTGACTTTGTGTTTATGTATTAAAGTTTTTTGAAAGGCAGTCTAATAAATGGTATTAGCCGTCTCTGTTAATTGTGAAAGTCAAGGGGAGAATAAAAACAGAATGAGCTAGTTATATATGTAATGGCAATTGAGGGGTGATTTAGTTTGAAAGATAAGCTCTTTGCTAAAAAATGATTAAAAATTTATTAATACTGTTTGTTTTGGTGATTATTTATATAGTCAATGTAGGCTTGTGCAAAATTAGTTAATGCTGGTAAAGTAATACTGGCTTGGAAGTAGCCTTTTAGATTCTCAATGAGATTTTGCCAAGTATTAAATGTTAGCTTTTTAAGAAAATGTTAGCATTAGCACAGATGTATTAGAAAACACAAATGACTTTTTTTTTTTTTGAAATGTAAACAGTGTGGTAGAAGATTAACTAGATTAATCTTTGCCTTGTGAACTCTTGCTTAACCAACTTAAGATTATTCTGTCCCCAAACTTGGGTATTCTATGTCATGGCTGTGGTTATATATCTTGTCTGCTAATTTTTATATTTGCTAATGATCCCTTGATGTTACATTTTCTGTGTTTGGGTTGGCCAAAGAGATGTTTTATTTAAAATTCTGATTTTCTTACAGCTAGTGAGAACAGTCAGCTCTTGTATTCAATAGGCATACCTATATCTTTACAACTTTTCCTTTGGGTGCAGATTGATGATTCAGTTGACAATTTAAAACCAGACATCTTGGTAGTGGAAGAGAGGGCTTCCATGAAGAGAATTATGAGGTTCCCCCAACCATTACATTTTTAACATTGTGTATAACAGTGATGGTGAAATTTTAAGAGCTTTCAATAGTAAATAGCCTATTGTATGTGTACCATAGATTCACCACCATTGCCATAGAGTACCTTATAGAGGGCATAAATTCAATGCCAGGATCTTTATTTTGGATAAAAGATTGGCATAGATTAAGTTACTATTGGAATTCAAAATGTGACCAACAAAATGCTTTAAAACTTGTAAACATGCCTTATCCTTAAATGTAGGATACTTGTAAATGTGTTGCAAGTTAGCAAATAAGATAATTTTCAAAGGTCAAAATAAGGTAGGCTAGGCAGCCTGACTTCAGAAATGGGACCAAAACAGATGGCATTTGCTTACAGTTGTCTGTTTAAGCTGTTAAATGAGATATTTTACTAAAAGTTTTAGTAGTTGCGATCCCAGATTGAAATGAGAAAAATACTGTTACTTAGGCTTGAGTTTGAAGATGAGAGAGGACTTAACTGTGTAGCTACAAAAGATGGAGCGTGTAGGTTTAATATTTAAGATGACCAGGCAGCTAAAAGCTGCAATAAGGAAGACATTTTTAGTCATAGAAAATGGACTTCTACACATTAGCAACTAGTAGCAGTCACACCTCTTTTAAACTATATAAATTGCCTTGAATTTTTCCCTGTGTCCCATTTACATATAGGGAAGTTTATTTTTCTATTCAAGAAAGTACTTAGGTCTCTTTAAGAAGCAGTACTTTTCATAACATCAGATTGAATAACCCACTTTGCTGTGCAGCCTACATTCCATTGGAGACAAGGTAAGAAACCCATTTTTTGATTCCTAATTGCTTGGGATCTAAATTTTTATTTTAAAATGTTGTTTGGAATGTGAATTCCCTTGATTTAAAATGTTTTTTCCTAAGTTCTATATTAATAAATAAGTGTTCATAAACCCACTTTTAGTGTTTTAAGTTTTAATATAAGTAATATTAGAATCTCAACTTTGCTCGATTTGTCTGTGAAACATGTTCGATAAGGCTGGTGCTGTGTTCAGGATTCTGGTCAAGGTGAATTGTGTGCCTTTCTGCTTTGTATATGAAGTTTGTAATAAAAATACAAATGAAACAAGTTATGTATTTACCACAAATATTAAAAAGTTTCAGACTGAAGTTCTGTTGTAACTTAACCACCTTTGGATTAACACCACATTCCGAAGAGTACAAAGGTAAAAAACATTGGGAGTCTTACCCATGATTCTGAAATGTAAAATCCTGATTTCAGGAGTTATCAGAATTATTGCCTAGCATACATGTGCAATGCCAGCTCTCCAAAGGTTGAGGCAGGAGGATTGCTTAGTTTGAGGCTGTCCCAGGATGCATAATGAATTCAAGGCAAGCCTAAACTACATACTGTCTCAAAACAAAATGGATGGGAAAGGCTGGGCATGGTGTGTGTGCCTGTGCCCAACACTTAAGATGTGAGTCCAAGGCCCACCTGAACTGCATAGCAAGACCACATGTATTTTTGTTTTGATGCCTTTATCCTTTCCCATAGTGTGACTAGATATTTTTCTGTACAAGTGACTGTTATGCACTTGGCCAGGGTGTTAACAGTACTACAAGGCAGCAAAAAGTAAACTTTGTAAAGCCTTCAGTGATACAGCCTCCTGTTACCACCGACATAGGATACGTATGTACAAGCAAATAACTATGAATATCTGCCCTCAAAAATTCAGGGTTTGGGGGCTGGGGAGATCAGCAGAATAAACAAATGCTTGTCTGGCAAGCGCAAGGGCCTGAGTTCAATCCCCAATTCTGCCAAAAAAAATGCAAGGATTGTACAAATTACTAATGCATAGGTTTAGCATTTTTCTGTAATTTTGTGCATAGTTTTCTGTTTAGGTCTTTTGATAGTAAAGTTTATCTTAATGCCAAAGTCTTTCAAAAGAAAAGGTGTGATGCACGTTTCTTTGTTGCACTAGATTGTTGAAGGACATTCCATCCAGAGCAGTATAATACTCTAAGTATTACTGTTTCAATACTTACAGGAGCCTTGAGAAATGCTATGCGAAGCGCTGAGACAAGCATTAAGTAGAGGTTAGGAAAAAATTGTTCATTATGCATATTATGGTTGTTAGGTAAATAATCCTAGTAAAAAAATAACTTCTGCTTTAAACTCCCAAGTTAGCGGGGTACTATAGCGAATATTCTGTCTGAAAACTTTAAAAGTGTCCTTGCTAGCTGTAAAAGCTATGCCTTACAGCTCTAAAAGTGGTTCATTGTAGAAGTCAAGAGAAGCATTTCCCCCTATGATGCTTCATTAGCATGAATATCATATAAATTCTGCTGGGCACAGTGGCACATAACTAATCCCAACATTCAGGAGGCTTGAACCAAGTTTGAGGCCATCCTGAAATATGTAGCAAGACTTGTTCACAAGGGGAAAAAATGGGAATTGATACTGGGAATTGAACCTAGAGCTTCATGCATGTTAACCAAGCACTACCACTGAACTTCCAATTTGTAACATTTTAGCAGATGCTGGGTTGCATTCTGAAAAATTCATATTCCTTTACCATAACGTTATCATTTAGCTGAGTAAGACAGTTCCACTGGATGCTTTCATCTCAAAAAAAATAGTGCTCAAGTGCCAGGTTAAAATGTTTCAACTCCTGTGTTGATAAAATTATCAACATCAAAGATGCTGGAAATGTGACCCACCTCTAAGATACTGCCCTCATCTTCCATGGCATACACTTAGAACAAAAGTATTTAATTTGTAGGGATGCTAAAAGGTAATTTTTAAGTGTTCAATAGCTGTTAACCTAGATGGAAATTACTTGACCGCTAGAGGGAGAGGGAGCTGTCAGTAAAACTAGCCAGGAAATTATCCCTGCTATAAAGCTAGTTGGAGGCCAGCTACCTTGATACTCAGGATGAACTGGATGATTTAGGTAAAAAGTTTCTTGTAATTTATACCTCATCTGTCAAATTACACCTTTTCAGCTAGTGAGTAGTGCTTACTGTTAATAGATACTTATGTCCAAAATGTTGAAGTCTTGGACCTGCTTGTTTTTCTGTCCCCCATGTCATCTAGGTAGAAAGTAGGGGAGTCAGGAGTGTAAGAATTGTGTGCATGAATAGGTGCAGTACAAAAGCGTAACATTTTTATGAACATGATTCAGATTCAGAAGCTGTAATATGTCAGTATAACTTCTTTGTATTACTAAGTGGCTCGTAAGCCTTGTCAAGTTAGGTTTCATTTTCGGGCCTTTGAGAGAATCTTGTGATTGAAAAAGTATAAAATAGGCACTATAGCTACAGCACACACACCCTAGCACCTCAAGGGAAAAGTATACATAGTCTTTTGACCATTGATGGTATTTTAAGAGCTTGAGTTAAATGAGAATGAGTTTGGCATTGGCCATTCCTGTCACCCCGGGTGTCTCATTTATTTTATACTTAAAAGATAAAACTTGCCTCTTTGTCACTAAAAATACATACCAAAGTTTTTAGACTCAAAAGATGGGAATATAATTTAGTGGCAGAGTACAGGCCTAGCTTGTGTGCAGCCTGGGTTCAATCTCCAGTACTACAAAGTACTTAGGCTCACAGATGGGTATTTGACAACAAAAAGGTGGGTATGAAAATGAAGCTTTGGAACTGTTAAAAACTTGTCTGTTCAGAATAAGGAAATGGGAAAGTGGACAGATTAGGTGGGTTTTTATTTTAGCAGAAAAATTGATCACGTAAATTTCTGAGAAAGGAAGCTACACATGGTAGTTGCCAATTGATGCAAGTTGAACAGCCTGACCCCAGTCCTAAAAATGTTAGCTCTGATGTCTTAATAGCTGAATTTGTCAAAAAGGCACTCAAGCTACAAATGAGAATTGAGAATTCCCTAATAAAAGAAGAGCTAGAGCAGGGTATGATGGCATACCTGTAATCCCAGCACTCTAGCACTCGGGAGTCTCAGGCAGGAGGATTGTTAGTTTGAGACCAGCCTGGGTACAAAGTGAGCTCAAAGCCAGCCTAAACTGTAGCAAGTCATCACAGAAAAAAATAAGTTGGTTCTGTAAAGTTGCTGAAGGATTGGCAAAAGTGTTCTGGGAGGTGCTGGGGGTTAGGGAGCCTTTATGTGAAAGTTCTGGATAAGTTAAAAGAATGGACTGCAGGATTGGCTAGACAAAAGCCTACATCCTTTAAATGGATCTTAAAAGTACCTGCATCTTGATACTAGGAATGTAGAACATTCGCAATACAGTAAACATGTTGTACAAGGCCCCATATGGCTCCTTTGTTCTCTAAAACCAGGTAGTAAGCTGCAGCAAGGTGATAGCCAAGTTCTATATTGGAATATGCCATTGCACTCATTACTTAGGCTAACCCAGAGATTTTGTTTACTTGGGACAGGATTTTTCTTCATCTGTTTACCATTCCAAAATTCTTGGCTTTGTATGTACCTAGATTAGTGAATTACTGCATTTGCTAAAACTTCAAGCAACTAGTCTTCATCCTTGCTGTCAAGTCTCACCTTCCTCAAACTCACTTCCCTCAAATCGTTGATGGGCTAACTATATTCTACTCTGGTCACTCTCAGCCCACCCTCCACCCCCCGCTTTGAGACAGGGTCTCACTATGCAGTTCAGGCTGTCCTTGAGCTTGCTTTGTACCCCAGGTTGGTCTCAAGCTCACAATAATCCTGCTTTGGCTTCTCAAGTGCTGAGACTACAGGCATGTGCCACCGTGCCCAGCAGAAAATTCAAATTTAAAATGCTAGCCTAAGCCCAATTGAAAGTGGTTTTTGGTGTTAGTGAGTTTTTTGTTCTGTTGGGATTAAGACATGGTCTCACTATGTAGTTCAGTGTGGTTTTAAACCTAATATAGGCCAGGCTGATCATCAAACACAGTGATCCACTTTAGCCTTCTCATTACTGGGATTACAAGTATGTGCCACCATGCCCAACCTGAAAAGGTACATGTTCCAAGAACTGATTTTAATTTTGTGTTTAGGGAAGGGCAGGGTCTCACTACTAGATCGGACTTGTAGTGATCTGCCTGTTGACAGCCTTCCAAGAGCTGGGATTACAGGCGCCCACCACCATGCCCAGTTTCAGTTGCCATCTCAGCATACCCCAGGGGTGGGGCCGGCACTGCAGGTCCAGGGATTGAAACCTCAGACACTGTAATCTGCTGAGCTAGTTGGTTGGCCCAAGAACTGATTTTAGAAGGTGGAAAGTTTTATTGTAAGCTGTGCACACTTATTTCAGTGTAGGTTACCAAGAATTAATGGTATTGTTTCTTCAAAGACTTAAACAGCTCCTCTTGCTGTTGCCTCTTGGATCTTCTCTATATTTTCACCTCCCCCCCCCACTTGGGCTTGATGCTTTCAAAGGAAGCCTTCAATTGACTGAATTTATTGAGCACATCTCAGTGAGAATCCTTGAATATTTTCATTGAGTTTTTTTAATCAGTAGTTAGCTTTAACACATTCCTATGGGCTTGAAACACCTATAGTATGTGAATGATTGTCCCATCAGCTGGCTTTTTGTTATTACTCAAAAGACTGATAAAAGTGACTAGGTCACTTGTTCTACCAGTGGTAGAAACTGCCTATGGACCAGTAATGCATGGATCAAGCTGCTTGGCAGTGAGACATAGAAATTATGGCCGCATTATGAACATGTTAACTCTCCGTTAGCCAGTGTAGCATGCAGTCCACAGCAGGCTGTATCACTGAAAGCTCTAAAGGGTCTACCACCATCAGTGCTAGGCCCTACAAACAGCTCCACTCCTTTAGCTATTGAACGGTCTGGCCCTTGATCAGCTAATGCGTAATTTATTTTCTTTTTGTCTTTTTGAGACAGTCTCACTGCAATTTAGGCTGGCCTTGAGCTCACTTGTAACCCAGGCTGGCTCTGAAGTCAGTGATCCTCCTTGTGTGTGCTGCCATGCCTGGATTTTTTTTTTTTTTTTTTAGACAATCTTGCTGTATAGTTCAGATGGTCCTTGAATGCACTTATAATCCAGGCTGGCCTTGAGTTTGTGATTCTGCCTTAGCCTCCCAAGTGTTGGAATTACAGGCATGTGCCATCGTGCTCAGCCTGAATAATTTTTATTTTATTTTTATTAGCACATGTTTGTAATACATAATTATTACATTCATCATGGAAAGTTAGTACATGAACAGACCACATTTTTATGTCCCCTCCCTCGAACTCACTTATTCTTGAGCTAATTGCACTTTATTTCTTGTTCGACATGTTTATATAGTATTACATGTGCCTGCATCTATGTAGTCACTTTATTTTTTATTTGGCAGAAGACATTTTGTAATATCTTTAAAAAATGAAGCAGTAAGTCCTCCATCCATTTATCACATTATGTAGCCACTTTAAGCTTTACTTTGTAATGCTTTAATGTGTATTTTTTTTCCTTCTACCTACATAGTGAACTCTTTGGGGGCTAGTATATTACCACAATCTGAGGCAAATATGCTGTGGACCCTCTGATCAGATAGGGCTTATTCTTAGTGGTAATTTTTTTTTTTTGTTTTTGTTTTTGTTTTTGTTTTCAGAACCAGGGCTTGAACTCAGGACCTTGCGCTTGCCAGGCAAGCGCTTATTCTACTGAGCTATCTCCCCGGCCCCTCCTACTGGTAATGTTAAGGTTCATATCTTTAGTTTTTTAGTGGGAAATTTTTGAGGGAAAAAAGTGAAAGACCATATGAAAGATGTTTTCTTAAAGTTAGGCCTTTCTTTACAAAGTACTTTGACTCATTTTAAGGTTTAAATGCCATTAGTCTCATTTTTCATGTTGAAAAAGCCTGAGATTTTAAAGTATCTGGTTCAAAACTTATCTTTACTACCATATTGCTTTAAAAAAAAAAAAAAAAAGTTGCTTTTTCAAGCCCCTCTGCCTTTCCACTTGAGAGGTTTTTTGAGGGGAGGATGATAAATCTGTGAACATCGCCTGTAATAGCTACCCGCTGCCACCAGGGTGTCCCATAGGGCTGTCTTTGATGTTCATATACTGAGAGCTGGGGACTGCTCCAAGACAGTGGGATGGATACTTGGCTTTCTAGCTTTCCTGTGTACAGTGCACAGCTAGCCCTCAGAAGCCTTTGCCTCCTTTTGACCCCTTGTTGTCAAACTGTTACCACAGGCCAGTGGGTCATAGAGTGATTCTCTAACTAGACAGCATCCTCACAAGAGACACTGACATACAACAACATATGAGTAATAAATGTCTACAAACAGCTGAATATATATTAAACAATGCTATAGTAGTAAACCACCTAAAACAAGATCTAATTGTTAGCACTACGGCAGATGAATGTTATTACTGTAACATTTTTGTTTTTGGGTTTTTTTGGGGGGGGCGGTTTGAGACATTATGTACTTAACGTAGGCCTTGAACTCACTGGCCCTTGATCAGCTAGCCTTGAAATTGTGGTGACCCTCCTGCCTCAGCCTCGAGTGGTGCTACTAAACGTGTGTGCCAACTTGTTTGGCTTAGGTAGATATTAAATCAGTGTGTGGCAAATGTACTTTCCAGTTTGCAATAAAAATGTTTGCATTGTACTTAGCCTGTGCTGTCTCCTACCATCAGGTTTTTTGTTTCTTGGTTTGGTTGGTTGGGTTTTGGTACTAGAGATTGAACCCAAGGGCCTTGTACATGCTAGCCACTACCACTGAGCTACATTCTTAGCCCATAGAATCATTACAGTTTTAGAAATTTAGGTTTCAAAGCTGTCTCTTGTGGGGGAGCTAACAAGTCTCAGATTTTGGTATTAAGGTGGAAATCTCTTTAAAATATGCTTCCTTAGGGGCGGGGAGATGGCACAGTAGAATAAGCGCTTCCCTGGCAAGTGCAAGGACCAGAGTTCAATCCCCAGCTCCGGAAAAAAGAAAAAAAAAAAGCTTCCTTTCCAGGGCTCCTCAAGCACTTTGTACAAGTGTGCATAGCTAACTGGCTTACAATTATTTCTTTGAGTCTTTTGAGTTCTCCATTGGAGAAGATCCTTAAAAGTATTTCCAGTGGCCAATGTAGCTCCTGAGAATTAGTAAGTGTTCAATATTTACTAGAGTAACACTTCCAGAATAGTTCTGAGATAGTGCCACATATGCATCTTTCTCCCCGCTGTGGAAAGAGGTCTTTATTTTGACTTTGAGCCAGTTGAAATTCATTTTGAACTAGAAAGTTATGGATAGAATGTCCTGGCTGACCTTTTTAAATGCTGAGTGTATTATTTAATGTTGGAATTCTTATCATGGCTAGGTGGTCTGTGTTTAAGTTGTTTCTCGCTAGGTGTCCTCTATGTGCTGTGTCCTAGGACTGGATATTTATCCTGGCTCTTCAGGCTCCCCAGAATATACTTAGTGATTCAAGATGTTGGATTTGAGGTGCCCCTTTCCCCTCTCCCTGGCTTTCTCACATGAGTTTCTGTCCTGAAACTGGTGCAACATGTGGTCTATTTTGTTTATATAATTATTTTTGTTGGGGATTGGACCAAAGGCCAGGGGCATGTAGCCCATGTTGGGGAAAGTAGCCTCTGTTGGGGGGCATGTAGCCCCAACACATGTACCCTTTTTGAGACAGGATCTTGCTATGCAGTTCAGACTGGCTTTGAGCTCACTTTGAAACCAGACTGGTCTCCAACTTGCAGTGATCCTCCTACCTCAACCTTCTGAGTGCTGGGATCACAGGCATGTGCCACCATGCCTGGTGTCACACACCCTTTTTTTTTTTTCCTCTCTCACAGAACTGGGGATTGAACTCAGGCCCTTGCACTTGCCAGGGAAGTGCTTAATCCACTGAACCATCACCCCGGCCCTGCATATCCTTTTAATACTCAAGCATTGAGTTTTTGTAGTCTGGTAAGTAGACTAATCATACTGGATTACAGATTGTAGTACTAATTAGACCCTGTGGTTTTCTTAAGTGATCAGAGTGACCACTTCAGCTAAATAAACTTGTATGTAGAACATATATGAGATTTTTTTTTTAAGCTTCATTATTAGTTTCACTATGTAGGATATCTCTGTAAATAACCCTTTTACCCTTAAGAAATAGGATTTTTCCCCCTTACATTGTATGTCTAGTTTATTTTTTTTCCATAATTTTATTGTATGTCTAGTTTAATATATTGCTCTAAAACTATTCTTTTTTTTTTTTTTTTTTTGCGGAACTGGGGATTGAACTCAGGCCCTTCCACTTCCCAGGCAAGCACTTATTCTACTGAGCTAACTCCCCGGCCCCTATTCTTTCATATGTGAGGAATAATATATTCTGCCTTTCCCATCTAAAATACAAATTACTATCTGGGTGTGGTGGCACATGCCTGTAATCCCAGCACTTGGGAGGCTGAGGCAGGAGGATCAGTGTGAGTGGGAAGCCAGCCTGGGCTGCAGAGTGAGCTCAAGGCCAGCCTGCTACATGGCAAGACTGTCTCACACACAAAAAAAGACAAAGTATAAATTACTAGAAGGCAGAAATGTGTATTCTGACCCTTGTAGTATCTGTTTCTGAGCGTTTTATACCTGATGCACAGGAGGTGTTTTGCCTAGCTTCACTGACTAGTTACCATCTGTCTTGTGAGCATTCATTGCTGAATGAAAGGGGAGAGAAAGTGAGAGAAGTGGAGAGAAGAATAAGGCTGGAGAAGAGGAAATAGTTGGAGGCTTGGGGCTGGGGGCTTACCTACTAAGGTCAGTAAAACAAAGCAAGTCATGGTCAGACCCTTGGGATAGAGGGCTAATTAGCTTGTCAGCTAATTGACTACAGTCTTACTCTGTTAATGTGACCAAAGGTACTTCAAAGGAAGATCTGGATTCTTCCCTAAGTACCTTAGGAAATTGTTCATCAGGCAGAATCCTGTCCCCTAGAATATTGCTCATTTCTTCAGACCTAGCAGACTTCACAGGTTGCAGTAGCATTATTTGTGGACAATGGCAAGTAAGCTTGATGTATTTACAACTTAAGAGTAAATGCTCAATACAGTTACTGTAACTATGCTGAACTTTTTTTTTTAATTTTTTTTTAACATTTAGTGTGTGTGTGTGTGTGTGTGTGTGTGTGTGTGTGTGTGTGCGCGCCCGCAGTTCAGCCCACCAGGGGGCGCGGCTGGCTGGGATGTGGTGCTGGAGGATTGAACCGCGGTCCCTGTGCTTTGCCAAGCTTGTTCCAAGTAGGCGCTTTAGACCACTGAGCCATCTCTCCAGCCCCCTCTATGCTGAACTTTTAACATCTACCTTACCTTACTCTTATGCTTGGCCCAGATGAACCATTACAGAACTTGAGGGAACTTCTAGATCAGAGACTCCGGTGAAGAGATAATTCCTTTGTCAGAAATCTTAGCCAGATGTTATGCTGTCATCTTATATAGTCATCTGATTTTTAGAATGGAGCAGGCTCCCCAAAGCTAAGTCTGGCTAGTCTTGTGTTCTTGTTTCTGTTTTGAGACAGTTTTGCTATGTTCAGGCTGGCTTTGAACTTACTATGTAGTGCAGCCTGGCTTCAAATTCACAGTGATCCTCCTTCCTCAGCCCCAGTGCTGGGATCATAGGCATGTGCCACCATGCCTAGCTAGTCTGGCTGCTTTTGTGATATCACAATGTCAAGTCACTGCTGCTCACTTCTTTCACCAGGGAACCTACAATGTAAATATCTCAGTGTGCATTTCAATACTACCTATTCCTTTCACTGCTGAGAATGGAGAAATCTCCACCTGAACATCAAATTGGCCCCATGGAGAAGTTGCATGTTTCTGTGGAACTTTGAGTAAAGAATTATTCACTGAATAGGTTTTTGCCCCACTCTACTCTTGATAGGGACATTTGGGCAGGCATTATAATTAATACATTTTGCACATAAGCAACATGGGTTTTTTCTTTTT